AGAGCGTGAAATGAAATATCCTGCCAACATGACGCAGGAGCGTTTGGCAATACTATGGGGCAGAAAGGTAGGCAGAAAGAAAAAGTTGGTCTTAAAGTAAAGATTTAGTCCATTGTGTGGTCCGAAACTGAGCGTGGAGAGGGAGTGCTTGACGTGTCGGTCGTTTCCGAGTAGAATGGGAAGGTAACGATGGAGCATCATCAGGAGATTGACGTTGGGCATTTAGGAGTAGGACCGGAGTTGGTTCCCGGGAGGAAATGGGTGGGCGATTCGAAAATTGCCGTACCGTTGAGGAGAAGCCGGAAGCATAGTCAAAGGAGAGCGGAGTTCAGACAAATCGAAGGAGTCAGTCGAAGCCCCGGTACCTGAAGGGGGGTGAGGAAACAGCACCAGCAAGAGGTACAGGGGCATCAGGAGTGTCCGAAGAGTGGTCTAAAACACAAGGCAGGGTCAGAATGGGGGGGCGGTATCAAGAAGGGGCCCGGGGGTGTGGTTTCATGGATAGGGCTGCCATGGGTTTGGTTACTCCTTTGCTTTTTGTTTTTAAGAAAAAAAAAGAAAGAAGAAAAGAAAAAAAAAAAATAAAAAAAAGAATAAAAAAAGGGGGGAGCGGGGAGGAATATTTCCCAGGAGGAATGAAAGGGCCGGAAATCCCCCTCCGCGCCCAAGAGGGCTCGACACCGCTAGTAGCGCAGATGCAGCAAAGGAACCCGTGCCATACCCTACCCTTCAGCCAGTAAACCAGCAATCTGGGATAGCAACCTCCAATCTGCCGAGCTACCTCGGTGGACAAAAGAGAGGGCGGCCGGATATCCGCCACAAAGCATTTCCTCCTTCAGCCACCACCCCCGGAATCGAAAGGTGGCTTCCAGAGATACACCCGTTCGCCCAAAAGACACCCAAAGCTACTCCGGGATACCGGAGAGGGATGGGGCATCCCTAGGCAATCCAGATTCCACGGCAAACTACGCCACCGCCAAGAAACCTCAACGGAATGGGATGGACCCCGGTGTCCTTTCCCCTACCTAGGAACTAGCGCGCCTGTGGGAGAAATCACGAAGGCTAAAAAGAGGAAGGGCAAAAGGGAGGGGTGAGGAGGAGGAGGAGGAATGGAAAAAGGGGAGGATGGGGAGGATGGGATAGGGGAGGGGAGAATGGGGGGTAATTAGGTTCGGTCTGAGGAAGAAGACCGACAGGGCTAATTCCTCAGACCAAGAGCCTCTTCACCACGCCAAGGAGCCCCCCTTGAAGAGGTTCCTTGGATTAAATTTGAATGTCTCCCATTCTCCCTGGCATTGTATGATCCCTGCTGGTCTAGTACTCATGAAAGTAATAATAATGTAAGCAAACACATTAATCAGTAAATTTGTGAAACAAATTCACTGACAGTGTTATTGCAGTAATAGGGAAGTGCTAAACCCATGCAGGTCATACAGCACTTAGGGAATGAGGGGAAGAACAGGCTTGATCCAAGGAAGGGGAGGATAGCTTCAATTCTTCAGATCAAGAGACCTTCGATATTAAGGAACTATTTAAGTTTATGATAACCACTTAAAAATATGCTTGTAGAAATGAAAGGACACTTAGAAATCTTTATTGGATATATTTCAGTCTTGGGACCTTTGTCACTCCAAATGGCACAAAAGAATGAGATTATTATTATTATAATCAAAAAAGAAGCGCTAAGCCACAAAAGAATGAGAAAGCACAGTACATATATAGTGGAGAAAGCAGGTCACTGGTGAAGATCAGGTGATCGAATTGCCATGTTACATGGCAGCAAGGGCTCAACTTGTATCATAAGTGCAGAAGTATTATTATTATAATCAAAAAGAAGCGCTAAACCACAAGGGCCATACAGCGCTGCACAGTAGTAGTAGAGATGATGTATTTGCCAACCCTTTGTTTTATGGTCTTGGGAGTAGAAAGCAAGGATGCTTCAATACAGTGGTGCTTATCAATGTTGGATTCTCTGTAGATCATTTCTGCTTTGTTCCAGTGTAGGAGAGGGTTTCTTTAGATCTGTGAAAAACAAAAGTATTGCTGTGTTCTTGGACCAGAATGGAAAGAATCCTCCCTTTTTTCTAGGTAGTTTGTTACATCCAATTCACTTCCTTCTACATGGCAGTGTACATTCCTGTTTCACTATTGGGTTTGTCATAGGGATCTTTCATCTTGAAGTTTGATGGAAGACGGGGATCATGGTACATACGCGGTACTTGCTTCTTGAAAGACCCTGTGTAGTGTTGATGGCCATATCTGCCCCAGGTAGTAAAGAATCTGGGTTTCTTGGTGGTGGTGGGATTGCTGGTAGGGTTAAGTATATTCACAGCTCCATGTTTGCAATCCTGTACAAAGTAGGGAATGTAAGCATATGAAGGCACAGGTGATATACTGGAACTCTTCTAAGAGTTTGGAACTGGAGATAAGGTCAGTTCTTAGGAAAAACTCAGTGGCCATGCCTCCCTTAGTGTGAGAAGAAATGAGCAGGGTCATCTTTGTGGGTTTTCTGTAAATTTTAAAGGAAAGGCTCTGTTTGGTGACCTGCATAGAAAAACAGGACTCAACAGTTTGCTTTCAATTTCTAGTTTGCATTTTTGATAGCAATTCAATGCTGTTAAACTTACGAAGGTCTCGTGTCGAGTTTTCCTGTGATACATAATCAGAAAGTCACCAGTGTATCTGATTTGTGTGACTGTATTAGGAATGATATTCCAAAAACCTTCAGTATCTAAATCTTCCATAAAAACGTTGGCCAGGACTACACTCCGCAGACTTCCCAGCTCCAAGAAGGCCATGAAATCACAGCGGGTTGGGCAGTTAAGTTGGCGTCACCTATTAATCTATGTACTTTTTTCTCCTTATACTGTTTTCTCATTCTCTTATTTGGAATGACCAAAGTCCCAAGACCAAAACTTATCTAATAAAGATGTAAGTGTATGCACTCGTTTCCTTTCGATATTGTTGGCATCATTATGCCTTCTACACTTGTATACTTGCATTATTTGTACATACTGTTTATTTACTGTGCTAATGCTTTGTTAATAATAGCCACAATCAACAACTTATTAGTTGGACTTTTTTTTTTTTTTTTTAAGATGCCAGCTGTCTCCCACCAAGGTAGGGCAACACGAAAAAGAAGACATTTTCACCATCACTCGTATCATTACCAACTTGCCAGAGGCACTCCAAAACTAGTTCAGATTCCCTCCAAATTGCAATATCCCCACCCTCCTTCAAAATGCAGGCACTGCACTGCCCACCTTTAGGACTCAAGTCCAGCTAACCAGTTTCCCCCAAATCCCTTCATAAATGCTATGTCACTCACACTCCAACAGCGCATCATAAAAAAACCTCTTGCCTCCACTCACTCTTATTTAACATGCTCACACACCTGTTGGATGTCCATCCCTCACATGGCTTGACCCTTATTTTTCCCATTCTCCCAGGCACTTACCATATTACAATAAACCCTCGGTATAATGAAAATTAAACTTTTAACTCCTTTTTTTGATTTTTTTTGGAAAACTAAATTGTGGACATTATTTAAGAGTACTTTAGTGCTTTTTTTTTTCTATTTTTAAACATTCTAGTATAACGGGTACTCATCTTTTTGAATGTTTATTGGAGGGTTTACTTTAATATTATGAGGGAAGAGCTAAAGCTCTAAGTGAGTTTCACTGTAGGTTTAGTATTGCCTGTTTCATAGATTTTAGTTCCTGGACTGCTCTACTTGCTATCAGCCAGCTTGACAGCCTGGTCTTGGGCAACAATCATATAATTCTTTTGGGTTTATCTGTGGGGAAGCCCTAAATCAGAAGGGTAATCTTCCTTTAATGTGTATATGGCATTTGGATTTTGCCTCCACTGTCAAGTGCTCTAAGGACGGGGATGGGGGGGGGGGAAATAGTGCTAAGTCTGTGGCTAATGTTTCCATGTTAGGTTCTTACAAATGTTGTGCTCTCTTTACATGCATAAGAATTTAACGTAATTTTTGGTTTTTGACCTTTAAAGCTTATTGCCCATATTTTTTAGGATTTAAATTCTCTGTGTGTAGAACTATTTTGTGAGCTAGTTCACTCAAGAAACAGTGGCAGCAAAATGGGCCCTATTACTATTATAATCATGGAAGCGCTAAGCTCGTAGGTTTACAGTGCAAACTGGGGGGGGAGGGGGATGGAAGGCATTCAGGCTCAATTTGGGGAAAGGGGCACAGATCAATTCCCTAGATCAAGACCCCCCCCAGTGTCAAGGAAATCCTTTTAGGAAATATGGGCCCGATATAGAAATGGGTCAAAGCAGGAAATGTGCCCAAATTAAAAAATTCTGCCCCTGCAGGAAGGGAAAAAAACCAACCATTTTCTGATTTAAAAGAGCGACATTGCGGTTGCTTTTTTGGAAAGGTTTTTTTTGGTTGTATTTTGGTTTTTTGGGATCATTTGATAGAATGGAAGAAAATTTTTACAAGTTTTTATTGGGTTTAGGAGAATAGGGTTTAAATTGAGCCAAAGCAGCAGAAATTTGATTTTTGCGATATTCCAGAGTAAACAAAACACGTCACTTGTCTAAATATCCAACTGGGTATTTTTGTGCAAATTTACAAGTGCTGAATTTTTACAATTATTTCGTTTTCCATAACAGTAAAAATCTTTTTTTTTGTGTGAAAAAAATTCAAAAAGGAGTTCTGTGTAAAGCTGGGAATGTAACAATGACAAGGAAATGTTATTTTAGTGCCGTAATGTCTGCATTTTTATTCTGAACCCTTTTTTAAATTGGAATTTGAAATTTGTGTGAAATTCTCCAAAAAATTTCCAAATTTTGTCACTTTAGTGGGTGTTGGAAAATTGACTGGGCAATTTCTTGGTTTAGTCAAAAAAACTGGAAAACCTACTACAAAACAGCTAAAAAAATTTGGGTTTAAATAAAAAAAATGTATTTGGCCTAAAAAAAGGACTCAAAGTAGGAAAAAACCCAAGCATTACATTCACCGACAAAGCAAAATTTGCAAAAGCATAATTTTGCAAGTTTTCCATCAAATTATGTACTTGTTATTTTATTAAATTCAGAAAAAGATTCTCTACCATTTCATAAAAATAGACAAAAAATTTTTTTTAAAAAACCTTGGACACTGTGGACACTTTTTAGATTGGGGTCTAGATATTTAGGGTATTAAATCCACCTTCATACAAATTCCTTGCAATTATTTCTAGCTTGGTATTCCATACAGTACAAATATATTGTTTCCTTTGAACTTCGTTATGCTAAAAAAAATCAAGAAAACATTCTTGTGCTACATTTGCATCTTTAAAACATTCAAACTAAAGACACTGACAATTTATAATGTATATACAAACATACCAGATACTGCCAATGCATTTATCCACAAAAGTGCAAACATGCATTAATACACAGAAAATGCTACCACTTACATAGTAGATTAATAATGAAGAATGGTCCAGTGTACAAATATACCTTGTACCAATAAAAAAGTAAAAATATTAATCTAGCAAGTCTTTTGAATTATTTAACTGCTTACAGCATTCATTTAAAATTTAAGCTCTGACAGCATTTCAGTAGGTACTACAGTCAAATCGAAACACAGTTTTCCAGCATATAAGGTGTGCTTTTTTTCTAATGGAAAAGCTATTAGAAAAACATTACACCTTTGTTCAAGGGTGTAGTGTGGTAAGTGGTGGTTTCAGTGCTGCAGTACTGGCAGCAAATTAAACCCCAAACCCATTCCATCCCTACAAACTGTTCCTCAGATTGCTTTAGTTTTTGAGATTACATTAGTTATTAGAACTATTATAAATTGTATAATTTACATATTATCAGTATGTGATAAGCAAACCAGCTTCAGCATTTCGAATAACTAAAATAGCTATGTTTCTTTTGGTGGCTGGATGACATACTCTGCAAGGTCCCAACTCGTTCAGCTACAGTGTGCGCATAAGCAACCAGCCACTGGCTATCATTATGAAGCAAGTATTGTACCCCCCCCCCCCCAGAATATTTGTACTAAATTGGGGTGCACCTTATATGCTGGAAAATATGGTACCTTGAACTCAATCGAGTCAAATTCACTATCCCTAACTAAATGTCTTAACATGGGTAAATCACACTTATTTTTAAGTTGAACCACAGAAAAGTAGAGTAAAAATAAGTTTTTCTGTAAAAGTAATACAGAGCACAATATTTTACATGGAGGTGGGAAGAACAGTGCCTGCACTCTAGAGGGGTTCGGGATATTTGCTGTTCAGAGACATCTAAACTGTCATATCTCCACGCGTCTGGTAAGACAGTGACGGTGTGAATGATGGTGAAAGCGCTTCTTTTTGGGTCACACTACTTCTGTGGGAAATGGCCAGCGTGTTAAAAAAATATCTAGGGATTATTACATTGTAATGTAAACTGTAAAAAATTTGAGAGCGATGATGCTGTCACTTACTGATCATAACACAAACATTACAACCAAATACTACATGCTTCATGGTTGAATTTATAATAAATTACCAATTCCACAAATTATTGTACCCCTATACATACTTAAATAAAAAGAATGGCCTATATGAAAACAGCTAGAAGAGGAAATATTGTATCCATTGTTAGCTGCATGCAGGCAGAGATAAAAAAATCTAAATCAGTCACAGGTATATTACAGGATGCTGAGGATATCTAAACAAGAACAACTTTTACACAATTCAAGTTGGCTAAATTCAGATTTCCACATATAGGAAAGAAACAGTTTGGCAAGAGTTATAAATAAAAGAAAGAATAAGCCAAGATCAAGACTTAACAGGGTGTGTAGCTTTAAAAACAGAATAGATAAATATAAGATTGAAATGAACCTGCCTAGCATGGACCAGTGCTCTTTTATTCTTAAGTGCAGGAATTACAGCTTATAGATTTCATTTGAAAATACTAAAAATTTGGGATTAAAAATCTTGAACTTCATCTCAATCTATACAGTATTTAAAATGTTATTCTCCAACAAGTTTTAGGCACTGCACTAACATTTTTCGTGTGGTTATGCCACCTAGCTTTATGTATTTAACCAGAAATTCAGTTATGGTGGCCCAAGTTCATAATAGTACGATTTGACTGTACATTTATTTCCGAGATAAGATTATTTCATTACAGTTTTTTTCTATCCAGAGACTTGAAGCCTGCTGTGCAGACAAAATTATTTTTTAAGGTTCTAATTACTACATGGCTTTTGTGTCAATCATCTACAACTGAAGTTTTCTAAAAGTAGTTTCTTACATTATTTCATCACCTGCAGTTTAATTTCCATACAGATTAAAAACTTACTTCTATACACAGAAAAAAAAATCTTTCAATAATTTTTCAAAATGGTTTTTGGCCATTCTAAGCTGCCATTTATTATTCTCTTCAAAATAAATGGTCTACATTCTGCAAAATCTGTGATTTAATGATCGCTACTAGTCAAATTTAAATTTACTTGTATAGAGGTGCCCTTTGGGAGAAATACTTCAATAAAAATACTATAATAAAAACATTCACATTGAAGTTAATAGCTTGGGAACTTCCAACTCATCGGCGATGAGCAACCAAAGACGTAAGACGACTGAACATCGAATTCATCTCTTTACGGCGTTCCATCTGGAAAAATCTGGTCATAATTTTCTCCTTCAGCTGGCTAAGACTGGGAATTGAAGAACAAGATGGGACATTCAAGAGTGTGGAGAACACCAATTCCCAGAGGTCTGTCTGATGGTACCTGTCAGGAAAAAAAGAAAAATTGTTTAATTTTAATTGCCTGTATCTTATCAAATATACAGAATACAGTAAGAGTACAAAAACAAGCCACAGCAATATTAGGAAACACTCTGGAGTGATAAAGAAGTCTGAACCGAACAATGACAGTGGAAATACACCAGTTACATGAACTAATAAACCAGATACAAGTTAGCTCAGCCCTATCAGCTGGTCATTTAAGAGAAAGGACCAACAGCTGGAGCTCACCCCTAAAACTTATACCAGGTATCCCTGATTTATGCAATATACATATTCCAGGCCTATGGATATTGTACTAAGCTCAATCAGGCCATCACTAAATGATGAAAATCTACAGTACATTTCATGGACCAAATGGATCACATATGGTCAATGTGCATTGCATACTTAAAATCCAATAGACATGGGACATAGCATAATAGGAGACTTAAATAATTACACAGTTGGCATAGCTCTTATCACATACAGTACATTAACATATGGACAGTTAAATGAAGTGGTCCAAATTATAGATCAAAAGTTTTGTACATTTTAAACACTTTATCCAGCCCATCATACCAGCAGGTAGAAGCCAGTTTTTGTATTTCATGATAATTCCACTCATGCATGATTTCACTGCTTTTTACTTAATACTGTTTCACTTTCTTTATTCTTCCAATAAGTTAAAATGCATTACCACTGAAAATAACACTTTACTAAAGATAACAAATATAAATCTTGAGCTTTCAGGATGTGATTGCATTATAGAAATTCTGAAATACACAATATGAAAAACTGTACATAGTAATAATTTATGCCTAATAACTTCAGATAAAGCAATAATAAAATCAATAAAAACAAAAACATTAAGTATCAAAATGAACAAGAAAACATTGAATACAAAAATTCTTACATACACACCTTCTGAAAGTAACGCCTTTGATATTCCATTTGCCTCTATTTTTCTCAACTTCCATGTATGTTCCAAAGAGGAACAAGTGAGCTAAGGCTGCTGCACCATATAAATCTGTCTGGTAAGTCCAAGGAGCACCCTCCCTCATTTCACAGCATGTAAATCCTTCAGTTGTCACCTGTGAGATTAAAATTAACTAAATGTATAGATTATAATATATCAAACTGATGGTGCCAACTTTTTTTTTTCATTCCTTTAAAATCATACATGCCCATTAAGACAACCAAACAATCTATTTCACAGTTGTCAACTTGAAAATCTGGATCTACTGTCCCAGCTCAAAAGTACTGTAATGATTAAGAAATTAGTCTTTTTTTTTTTTTTTATTTTACTCAATGGCAATCTCCTTCCAAGGCAGAGTGACCCAAATAGAAAAACATGTTTGTCAATATTCACTTAAGTGCTATCTTTCTAAAAGTGTGCTGACATCACAATTAGACGACCCTGCAACTGCAATATCTCCACTCCTCCTTCAGAGTGCAGGTATGAAACTATGTAAAAAAATTAATGTGACTACAGTACAACGATGAAATCTAGGAGGCAGCATATATCAAAGGGAAACAAATTAGAATTTTGAAAAGAAATGGAATAAAAAAAAACTCGTAAGGGTTCTTAAATGGAGATATCGTAGGTTGAAGGTAGACACACTTGTTGGATGGTAACTATATATTGTCAGTCTGAGATGGTGAGGGATGGAGCCCGCCGCCTTGCCTGTCTGCTGAATGGTCTGCCGCCGAGTGAGAGCGGGGCAGAGGTATGAGCCTCCACATGTGCATCCCGTGACGTCACACAAAGCCACAGGCCTACAAGGGATCTCGTATCTAAAGCACATGGATGATACTAATATGCTATGCTATATAATACAGGGAATACAGGGATCAGCAACTATGCTGACAGCTCGGTCATGTTACGTATGTCGTCCCGACATACACTACTATACTATAGGCTGAACAGGCAGGCGGATCTGGGCTGATTCTATACAATAACAAATTCATATATAACTTAGAACTAATGGATGGTACAACATGATTTGACGTAATGGGTGTTAACGTAATGAGTTTTAACGTAATGCATTACAAACTATAAGAACAAATCATTATACAATATGGATGGAATTGATCGATCGATCTGTATTCATGCACTCTACGGATTCTGAGGAAATAAATATATATATATACAAGGTGAAATTAACAGCAAAGGCATCTGTTGCGCACTCAGACCATTACTGTACTGTCAAATTCTCAGAATACGGAGGGAACGTGAACACGAAAATTTCTGACAACTGATCAACTAATGACAAAACACACAGTTGATAATTTCATTCATCTCGGACATCTAATTATGCAGGCTGTTTACACTTAAACCCAATTCTGCGAGGGTAAGGTTTACATATGCAGAATGGTTATCTCTGGGAGGATTGAATTCCTCTGCAATGGCTAACACATGCCTTGACTGAGGACAGTCTGAACGAGTATCTACAAAAGATACAGCTACAATCACTAGTGACTGTGGAATTACTAATTTGTCTGCTAGGAGTACTCAACTCAACTATTCGATACAGTAATTCTTGGCTCATTACAAAGTCACTAATGGGTGCTGGTGGCTTCATAGTAAGAATAAGATCTTCCTGGAGCAGGAATCGAATCACCAGAACACAAGGGATCGGTTCTTTGGGCATTTTTGACATCCTCGACAGTAAATGGAGGATCTGCAGTAACTACACTAACGTGTCGCGATAAAGCATCTGCGACTACATTCGACTTGCCAGGTAAATGTTCAAAAGTGGGATTGAACTCTTGGATAGTCAAGGTCCATCTGCCTAACCTTCCAGTAGGCTGTTTGTTCTGGAATAAAGGTAACAGTTCTTTCTTACTGGAGGAATGAACAAACTCGGAGTGGATGACTCCCCCCGGTTGAAAAAATTAACGCTATAACACGCAATATGAGCAAGGGAGAACGAATCTACTATCTCAAACTGCAAGCACAGGAGAAAAGAAATGAGCACGGTGAACAATGCTGATATTCAATCTGAGTCGCACACAGTGACACGAGGTATCAGCTATAAAGAAACTACACTTACAAACGTTAACATGTGAAAGTTACTCGTGAAATAACTTCTTACAATGAACTGATTACTGTCAACTAGGATGGGATCACCATCTGAAACACAAGGAACAACAACAGACACTCTAGTGAGAACACTAGCTGTAACAGAGACGTCTTTCTGCAGACAGCATGTCACATCAACAAGAGATGGCATTACTAGTTTCAAGTAATCGTTTTCTGACAAGGCATCCCCTGTGGAGAAACTACTACTCGAACTAGCAGTCATTGCAGGGATAGGCTGTGCACTCAAGGCAATCTGAGTGTCCCCGGACACTTGAGGCAACGGAACACTATCCTGCAAGTCTGAAGGTTTTAGTGGAACACGGATGGGAATGACAGAATTTTCTAGTGCCTGACCGCTCGGCTACGTTAATAAGTAATTCACGGATCTTATAGGAACTTAATCTGAACTTCACATTTTGCAGCACTTTAACAAATCTCAGATACAAGTTTTTGAGAACAAACACATTGCTCAAGGGCTAGATATTGTCTTTCAGTCAGTAAGGGAATGTTGGTACTGTGGACTGATTCATATTGGGCTTTGACTGGAATGATACACTAAGTGAACGTTCAAAAGTGACTGGGACATCTTCTCAGTGAAAATACTGAAGGGCATAAGTCAAAAAAAAAAAAAAAAAAAATAGAGAGAATGACACAGTAAGCTTAAATGGAAGGGAAAATGCTTAAACTATTCTGCATAAGTAATTAAAAATTTACAGGTTACACAGTTAAACAAAGAACTCCCCACAAGAAAAATATGCAACTGAAATGAACAACACTGAAATGAAGAGAACTTGTACTTTGCTCAAATCTAATTTGCTCAACTTTTACTTTAAATTGAATAAATGGCACAGTGAGTTGTCTTTACTTTCAATGCAACAAGGAAATACCCCAATAAAATGATAAATGGACTCAATAAACTTGTGCAAAAATTAAAACAGACACACAATTCACTGAAATAAAAATAAATATGACACAGACAGAATAAAATACTATGCACAGAACAGAGCATAAGAAAACTGCACTGTAATAAACTGTAGCAATATATCAAATTAACAATTGCTAATCAACAAGTACTTCATAAAATTTTCTGCAAGGAAACTTTAATAGCAACACAATATTTGCACAAGAATTATTGCAAAATGAATCAACGTGCAATAATAAAAATTATAACACACAAGAAAAGAAATATATCAAGGAATGAACACTAACTCTTAACTGCACTCAAGCAACACTTAACAAGCAAAAGAACAATTTACTTTAAAAGGAAAACTTAAAAATTGCACCGAGTGAATTTGTTCAATAAAACATGAAAAATAATAGGTGCAAAAAACACATAACAAAACAAGTTTGAACACTTACAGTGATGCAGAACACAACACATCAATATAACACAATACTGGGATTTCTTGCAAAGAAACTTGGTGTGAAAAATTTTGTAAAAAAAAATTATTTTTTGCTTGCACAAAATAATGGCACTATTGTCTGTGGAAATAAGACAAATTAGACACTGGCTAAATGGAAAGAATATGAACACAAGAATGTTCAACACACAGGGAACAAAAATAAAAATACACAAATACTGGGAAGAAAAAAAAAATAACAGACAACACTGAGTTGTGATGCAGAACATGAGGTGAAAAAATTATGAAATACTTCACTGGAATACTGAGAACCCCAAGGTGATTCTGAAGTGTAAAACCCAAGTTCTATACTGCTCATATTTGCACACACAAACAAAAGGAAAAACACTAAGTACTTACTTGAAGTGTATAAAAAGACACACAACACAACAGACATAAGATAATGCACGAAATTAACACTGAATTAAGGAGATTAAAGAAATTAATGCAATCAGTACATGATAAACACTGAGTCTGATCGAGAGTCACTGAATGTCATTTAAGAAAAAAAAATAAAGGGAAAAAATAGAAAAAAAAAGTCCCCAACACTCGCAAATGTCTCTAAAAAAAATTTTATCGTTTTAAAACACTTAAAGAATGAGTTTGATGGTTTGTTTTTTGGTCTTGCTGCTGTCCTCCCCCCACAGATGATCTTTAAAATTTGCGTTACATCGGCGATAGCCCAAACACAGGGGTTTTAAAAAAGGTGGGGCAAACCCCCTACCCTCTTGACCCCCTATGTGGCCCCTTAAAAAATGGTGCTCCAACCCTTAGCGTGCCCCAAAACACTGATGAAGTTTGGGGTGGGTAATGGCTACTGTAGTTGGGTTTGGGGGTTTAACGGGGCTGGGCCGGAAATTTTTTTGGGCACACTGATCGTGAGTGGTGGGCTTAGGGGTTTGAACGTCGAAAGCCCACTGAGAACACCCCCCACTCCCGCAAAGGGAAATTCAAAGCTGGTGGCTTAAAAAAAACCCCGAAATACTAAAAAAACCACAAGGATGAAAAAGGGAGCACTAGAAGCTTGGGTTTGTTCACAATGAGGGAAGATATCACGTGGCTTGCTCGGTACTGGGGTAAGACACCGGGGTTGTTAGTTATTGCGGGCTTATTTTAAACCCCTTCACCCCAGAATGGCTTGATAACTTCACACGTGAGCACAGCGGGGGTTGGAAAAGCGGGCTTGGAGGCAAAGGAATTGGATGGAGTAGGCTAGGGGGGACGGGGGACTCCGTTCCCCCCGATTCCCCCACCACAGACTGGAAACTGGCTTTTTTTTGCAAATGGGTAACCTCGGGAGTGATGCAAAAAAAGAGAAAAAACACTAAAAAAGGAGACTGACCAGTGAAAAATGTAGTAAACCTGGTAGGAGCTTGGGGAGTAGCTGACTTGGGTAGCTGGTGGGGTAAACCCTCGGTGGCCTACTGGGGCCCGGGAAAGGGGCCGTTTGCTGGCGAAAATTTATCTCCATTTTTCGCTGAAAATCGTAAAGAAATTACGGGCCCCCCGATCCCCCCAAATTTATCGAAAGGGTGCTTAAATGGAGATTCTTTAGGTTAAAGGAAAGCCCACCTTGTTGGTTGGAAACTTTTTTTGGTCGTTTGGATGGTGAGGATGGGCCCGCCCC